AGATAAATGTCTCTGAACCCGATATAATAATGTCAGGACACACAATCCGCTTTCTACTTCGATAAGTTTGTTGGAGGTTAAAATGGACACCAATATGTCTTAGCACAATCATGTCGCTGGATTTGCAAAGGCTGCTTCTCGAAAGCTTGAAATAACTGTTTCGAACCAGAAAACTATACACACCTCAGCAACTTTTGATGCTTCATAAAGCTCAGATCAGACTATTTTTGGAGTATTGTTCTTATGTATGGAGATTTGCCCCCAAATATACCCTGAAGTTGCTGGATTCCATCGAGAAAAGAGCCATCTACCTGATTGGAGACGTGAACATCACGTGCAATCTTGGTAGCCTGGAACATCGAAAAAAGGTTGGAGATTTGTCTCTTTCTTATAAATACTTTCACGGGAGATGTTCGAGTTAAAATCTGTTTTTTCGTTAACCAGCTGTCGCCCCCTTACGAACGACAACTCTCAAAAGTTGAAACTTTTGCGAGCTAAGGAATAACAAGGTCTTACCTTTCAACGTCTGATTCCCAACACAGGTTGGACGATAGAAAGTGAAAATCGACCGACTTTGCGGTTCGAACCACCGGTTCACACAGCGGTCGATTAAGTGAGGGGAGCAACCACCCATATCAACCCACCAGGCTACCGTCTCACCGGTGACTTAGCAGATTTGATTCCACCAAGAGCAGTTTATATCAGAAATACGCGAAGTACTATGGCTGCTCATCGTTTTGAGGTTCATCTCAGTTCACCTCGACCTTCACTATTTAAGAACTCTTTCATTTGGAGAACTGCATTTATGTGGAATACACTTCCTGAGAACATTTTTCCAAATGGATGTAATCTCCAGCGATTCAAATCTAATGAAAATCGCAACTTTCGCACAGGCACCGCTCTTACAGCGCCTTAAGGATTTTCCTGTAGTGCTCGTGTTTTGTCCGTTCGAAGTTTATCTTCTTCAGAGCTGAAGTGGTTCGTACACCAGTAATAAGAAGCTTCAAAGTTCCATATGATTCATTGAACTTACTTTGAGTAAAATAGGTTTAGTGAGTAACTCAAAATTCAAGAAAAAATGAAAATTCAATTTAGAGTATCTCACTGCTTTGTAAACATACATTTTGCCTACAAAATAAAAAAATTATTAACAAAAACTAATTATACTTGGCTTCCTTTAGTAGTGAAAGTGGTGAAATTCACTTTGAAACTTTCATCCCAAATTGTGAATAGCTCTATTCTTTTTACATACATTCTCTGTTGATTCAGGTTTATTTATTTTTCAGACTGTGGAAGATTATATACAAAAAAACATGAGAAGTATTCAGTTCTCCACAATGTCTTTCAATCAAATTAGAGGTTATGATTTTGTATTGTATTTGTATATAAGATATACCATCCTTAAATGCAGTTGATATTTTCAAAAAAGTATCAACATGAAACTTCCTATTCATGATGAAATACGAGATAAAATATGGAATCTTGATACCTCGTCTTCCACGGATCTTTTGACGACTCCCTTCTTTCCTGAATGATTCTCAATTTATTCATTCTACAATTAATTTAATGTCTCTTCAATAATTTTCATGACATCAAACCAGTAATTATAGATCTGATAGCGAAGCAATATTGGTACATCATTCTTTTACTATTTGAGAATAATTTTTTATACGTTCTCGACATATTCGACATACATATTCCTCTTGCATAATACTACGTTTCAACTAATATTTCACTCGTAGCATTGTCGTTTTATTACGTTAACATTATGATTAATGTGATATAGAATTACATTTACACCCGTTATGAGACATATGTTTCTGCTATTACACAATATTTTAATGACGTTCACTCTATGCTGTTGCACTAACACTTGAAGCTTGAACTTCAACTAGGGGTATAGCCGTTTGTATGGGAGAAACAGAAGCTTACTACATGGGCTGAAAAATCTCGGGCCTCACACATAAGAGGCGCTAATCTTATTACCGCTTTTTCAATTAGTACTAACCTTCAAAAGAGAGGCTGTTGAAATGATTTTCTACTCATGAGTTTGTGAGTTATTGATATATAGATAGACAGATGGATAGATAGATAGATACATAGATAGATAGATAAGTTATTGGTTTTTTATACATTCATCTGTATTTACACAAGTCAATACAATAATTTTAGCATATGTAAGGCATCTATTAATATTTACATAAAAAATAGATGCTTACAATTTTATAAAAAACATTTAAATCTTATAAGTACATCTGAGTTATGTCGACGAGCACACTTAAAAAACAAAGCAGTAAAATTTAAAATTGGGTAGTATAAAACAACGACAAATGTCTATATGGTTAAAGAATTTATATCACAATGCAGGAATTATTCGGTTCTGAAGAAGGCGTTTTTTATTAAAAAATATTTTAGCCTTATTTTGAATATGTTATTAGGTAGAGATCTTAGTTTTTGTGGTAATTTATTATAAAGTTTCACAGCCCAAAAATTTGGTCCATGTTGTGGTCGTGCGCATATCCATTGACTAATAATTTTTTCTCAAACCAATGTATCGAAACGGTGGTTTTGATCTCAGCTATTCTTGGATGGACATTGAAAAATGTATTCACGAAGAAGTGCAATATTGGCTATACCGACTATAAACCGATTTAGGCTTGCTCCTGGAACTTTGATGCATCTAACGCTATCAATTTGGAATTTTGGTAGTCCATATGACACAACTATTTGGGATTGATGTGCCTAAAATCATTTTTATAGCATTTCCAGGTTGATAACTAACTGACAATTGAATGAGAGTTATTAGAGACTCGAATAGCTTGATGTCACACCGACTTTTATGCTTTCTTTTTGGAGAAGTACCTTTGATTTAAGTGCCGGTGTTCCTGGGTTCAAGTCTAATCTCTGAAAGATTTTCAACAACCCAATTTTCAAACTATTTGAACTTGAATTGAATACCAAAAGGGAAAATAATGGGTTGTTTCTTGTTATAAAATTCAATTGTTTTTCACTTTTTCAGGACACCTTTACAAATAACTCGTATTAAAATATTGCTCTTGTGAGTTATAGAATTGCGAAAAATAGTCATTTTTTGCTCGAATGACTTAGAACAATCTTCATTCTCACGAATAATGGCTACATTTCTTGGTCTTTGAATAAAATACTATTTTGAGAAAGTGTGATAACTAATCCCAACGGGTCTAGAGCTGTTAATCAGAAATTTACAAAATCCTCAATTTCACCACTAACATGGTTCAATTGCAACATCCACAGAGAAACAAATCTACTAGCTGAACAATTCGTGTCCCACACCACAATTTTCTGGAAAAGGCACTACCAACTATTTCCATACTAGAATCCACAATGCCGGAAATTACTTTTCAACAGCGTTCCCTGCAAGTGGTCGTTGATGGACATCTCTCGAATACTTCCACCATCAACGCTGGTGTTCCCCAGAGATCCATATTATCTCCAACCCTCTTTTTATTGAATATCAACGACTTATTGGAAAAAAACAAGAATTCCATATATTGCTTTGCTGACGACAGCACACTTGTATCGTCATTCCATTTGGATACCAGGTCATCGGCTGAGATGCACATCTTCACCGGCAGCAGGAGGTTGTATATCTTAATGAGGATCTAGACTAGAAGTGATTTCGGATTGGGGTGAAAGTAACCTGGTTCAATTCAATATCACAAAAACCCAGGCATCGGTTTTTTCCAAGAAAGATAAATGTCTCCGAACCGGATATAATAATGTCAGGTCTGACAATTCCACTTTCTGCTTTGATAAGTTTGTTGGGGGGTAAAAATGGACACCGAAATGTATTGCCACAATCATGTTGCTGGAATTGCAAAGGCTGCTTCTAAAATGCTTGGAAAACACTGTTCCGAATCAGGAAACTGCAAACCTCAGCAACTTTTGATGCTTTATATAGTTGAGAGGAAAGAAAAATGTTTTTCGGTATTTTTCTAAAGAAAAATGAACACTTCACCAAAATAGGATTTTTGCTTGAATGGAAAGAGGGTATATTTTAGGATAGATTAGTTTTGAGAAAGTTTTGGCTTTCTACTTCTTAGTCTTTGGAAGTTTCCAACATTGTTTATACAAAAATGGATACATAGAAAACCAAAACCTTTCTCTAACATAATTTTCGTGTGCTGATGAATCCAAAAATGTATAAATATACAGGATGTATCACTTGAGATTCCAAAATTGGCGATAAATTTCTTTTCAGCACACATTCTCTTGAGATCTGAGAAAAGGAAAAAATTGATGGGTAGCAGATCTGGAGAATACGGTGGATACACAAGCAATTCGAAGCCCAAATAATGTCATTTTGACATGGTTTTCATCGGTTTGTGACACTGCACATTGTCTTGATGATACCATAACCTTGCCAGTCGACTGTTGCATCTTCGCACGCTTTGGAGTCGATTCACCACGTGCAGTCCGATCAAATGACGATCGTTTTAATTATGGTGTGAAATGATGGAGCCACGTTCCATCCATTTTCTTATTTTGACGCATGAATTCGGGTTTCTCATGGTGAAACAGCTTCAAACACTACTCAATCATCAATTCGTTACTGTTTCTGGTCGATTGTGCGTGGCACTCAGTTTGAACAGTTTGAACGATATGTCCAACACGTTCCTTTGATACTTTTAGAGCCTCAGCTATCTCGATCAACTTCACTTTGCGCTCATCCAAAATTCTCTTGTGGATTTTTTTATGTTTTCGTCGTTAACAGCCTCTTTGAGACATCCACAGCAAGCATCGTCCTTAATACTCATTTTACCTCGTTAAAACTTAGCAAACCACTTCTCAAAGGTTGATTTTCTTGGTGCAAAGTTCGAATAATGTTTATCAAGCCAAACCTTGACTTCAACAGTATTTCTTTCACTTAAAGGCAATTTTTTTAATGGCACAAGAAATTCCTTTTCATACATTTTCGTGAAACTAACAAACGTTGTTTCACTCCAAATATTCTATCCCACAAACTCTAGTTTCTCTTCAGTGCGAATAAATCTTTCGCCTTTCACTAAAAATTTCCGTGGAGAGGAACAACATAAAAGAGTCTTAACATAAAAGAGCCTTAACATAAAAGAGCCTTTACAAACTGATAATCCAAAAGCTGTGAAATTTGTACACGTGTCTTTGGAAGGCAAGGGTTACCTAAAAATCATATAGATTTAATACTGGTAGCGCCATTTGTATTAGCCTACGAAGTTTTAAGCCCACCTAATACATAGCAATAACTACTGCCAAAATGTATTGAAATTGTGGAATTGGCCGCGGTGGTGGTGCGCCCGACTCACGATCGGAAGGCCGTGGGTTCGATTCCCGCCCCGACCAGATATTTTTCTCGAAAGAATTTATCTGGTTGAAGCTGGGATGATTCTGCAACCGTGTTAGGAATGACACGTTAAAAGGTAAGACCTCGGTAGTCCTTAGCTCGCACAAGTTTCTCAACTTCTGAGAGTTGTCGTTCGTATGGGGCGACAGCTGATTAACGGAAAAACAGATTTTAAACAGATTTTAAGCAGATTTAAACAGATATATTTTCCAGATATTTCAAATATTTCAAGTCTAACTCTTGTGTTACTAGCTTTTTGATATACAATAAACTTCCAAGAAAAATAAAGAAAGAAAAAAAAATTTGCAATGAAACCTCTTTATGAAGATATGTAAATCATACAGAGAATCACTATTTTCTATATAATTTCTATTTGAAACATACCAATTGAAACATATATCAATTGGAATGCTACACAACTCAATATGTGAAACAGTATTGATATAAAATGTCACTCACACGAAACATTATCAACTTTAATAACATATGTCGAAGTTTCGGGACGAGACATTATCGCCTCATCAGCACCGTTTTGGATAACATTTCATAAAATTACGACTCCAAGTCACCGAAAGAGACAGCTTTCTTTTTGTCAGCCATAGGAATTTCATTTGAAATAAAAATGGATCAGTTTTAGGAGAGATTAATTTTTTGAAAAAAATCTTCTGGCTTTCTAATTCTCCATCATTGAACAAAAATTTTTTTTGCATAAAGCTTTTCCCCCAAAAACCTAATTTCTCCTGATAATATTTCCTTTTTAATTTACAGAGAGAAGTATTTTCTAAGTCTGATTACTCTTGAAACTACCACCTATACTATACATATAACTCTTTTGAAAGTGAGAAACTGTTATATTTACTAACATAAAGTAGATGGTGACTTACACCATAAATTGGAAATTTTCAAATGTCTTGAAAAGCTTCCATTCAAGAATTAGATGTCAGAATCCAATCCATCAAAATCACATTACCAAACCACCAACCGTCGCCAATTGTTTACGACACTAAAAGATTTCCTCGAAACTGGCATAATGGTGTCAGTTCATAAGGAGGAAATGTAACCCATTTATCTTTCAGCATCAGCCTGAAATAACTCAGATGGCCGCATCTGTTCCCATCCCGTCGCGCTCTACTAAAGATTATACAGTGTTCTCGCCACTTAGCGTTTTACTAAACACTTTGTTGAGCAGAAAAAACAGTTTTCAGTCGTACAGGGAGTTAAAGGCCTAATCTTTGTGTGACAATTAGAGTTCATATGATCTGACTGATGGGTGGATTGAGTTGAGTTTTCTGTCACAACATGTTTTTGAGGAAGGGTGACGTTTCCTTCAAGAAGATCTGGATCGTGTTACCTCATCACATTCTTTTCAAAACAAGTTGATGGAGAATGGTAGAAGGAATATTATATCAAGTAACGAGGCGGAAAGTGCACTGTGCCACTTATACAAATCGAAAGTAAAATGACGGATGAGCTGTATTTATACAGAATAAATAAGGAAAAAATGTTTCTGTAGGTTCTGCCAAACTCAAAAACTTTAGTAAAATATATAAACATTTTCAGTGAATGCATCTACAAAAAGTGAATTTTATGTCAATTCAAAGGATCACCTCAAATGTTGGAGAAAATACTAGAAGCAATTCTATAAGCTAATCTTTCGTGAAACTATATGTACAATTTGTAAAATGATTTTCTAATGAATCAAAGATACGCAAATACATGAAAATTTTTTTCTGTTAAAATATTTGTGGAAATCCAAAAACTGAAGTCCACGTAAACTGCATTTTCATTTCTGAAGTTTCATCTTGGAATTTCATTAATCGACATTATCATAGCACAAATGATTGTTCCAATAGTCGTTTCCCCCTTTGTGGTAATGGAGAAAATAAATATAGGTACTACTGAATTTTTGTTTAAAAAATACTACCTGAGGTAAAGCGTTTTAGCTTTTTTTTGAGGACGGAACACAAGCACTACAGGAAAATCTTCAAGGCGGTCCCAGACCGGTGCCTGTGTGAAAGTAGCTATTCACAGTGAATAAATAAATACATTTGGAAAATCGTTCTCAGGAAGTTCATTCCACATAAACGCAATTCTTCAGATTATAGAGTTCTTACAACAGTGGAGTTCGAGGTGTATTGAGTTGAAACTCAAAACGATGAGCAGCGAATTTCTGATTTGTACCGCTCTTGGTGGAATCAAATGTGCCCAGTCACTTGTACATCTCCCGTGAAAGTATCTATAGAAGAGACAAATTTCCAACACGTCTTCGATGGCTATCAAGGTTGCACGTGATGTTCGCGTCTCCAATCAGGCGGATGGCTTTTTTCTTGATGAAATCCAGCAACTTCAGAGTATGTTTGGTGGCGGAGCTGCAAACATGAGAACAATACTCCAAAGTAGGTCTGATCTGAGCTTCATAAAGCATCAAAAGTTGCTGAGGTGTGTACAGTTCTCTGGTTCGAAACAGTGTTCCGAGCCTTTGAGAAGCAGCCTTTGCAATTCCAGCGACATGATTGTGCCAAGACATATTGTTGTCCATTTCAACCCCCAACAAACTTTTCGAAGCAGAAAGCGGAATTGTCTGACTTGACATCATTATATCCGGTTCGAAAACATTTATCTTTTTGGAGAAAAACCGATGCCTAGTTTTTTGTGGCATTGAATTGAACCTGGGTACTTTCACCTCAACTCGAAATCACTTCTAGATCCTCATTAAGATATGCAACCTCCTGCTGCCGGTTAAGATGTGTCTCCGTAGCCGATGTCCTAGAATCCAAACGGAATGACGAGACAAGTGTGCTGTCGTCAGCAAAGCAATATATCGGATTCTTGGGTTTTTCGAATAAGTCGTTGATATACAATAAAAAGAGGGTCGAAGACAATATGGATCCCTGGTTACACCAGCTTCAATTTCATTTCAGTTTTCTTATATAGATCTGCTGTAAATGAAATGGATATTCAAAATGTAGTTGAATAAAACAATTGATATCATTATTATTTGTTTTTTCAATTTAACCTTCAATTTAACCATTGTTTAATGCTGAAGAATATAGTAGCTTAATAAAATATTAATAGGGACAGAATTTCTGAGATTCCAAATAACGAAACAATTCTTGGATGCCAGGATAATTGGGAGTCAATGTTCGACCCTAAGAATTTGACTGATTTTTTCTGCACAATAGATTTAGTATTTATTAGCTCTAACCAATATACTGCAGTCCATTTTTCTAAGCGAGAAAACAATGGTATTCGATTTATTGCTATTTAGTACGAGGCCGTTTCTGGCGCAGTAATTAAGCATATTAGCAACTGCAATATCAGCCTGGTCAGATAACCCTTCACAAGAAGTGTCATTAGCAAACTGTACAGTACAATGTTGTTGATTAATTTCAGAGATGTAGTTGACGAATAAGAGAAAGAGAGTAGGACCCAGGACACTACCTTGGGGAACACCTATTAAGATGTTACGATTTTCAGAATGATGTATTACCGATTTGAGCCTAACATTAACAGATTGTGATCTGCAAGTCAGATAAGTCTTGATCCATTTTAGACTTTGGCCGCGAACTCCAATATCATAAAGTTTATCGAGGAGAAGTTGATGGTTGATGGTATCAAATTCACGTGACAAATCAAATAGAAAACTGATCGATTTTTCGCCGACAGCAATGCAATACCTCTGTAGTTGGAGATTAGGTACTTATCATTTTTCTTGTGAACAGAAACTACAATAGCATGTTTAAGACGAGAGGAAAATGAACCCTCAATGAATGAGAGATTAAGTAGGTATGTAAGTGGTTCAATGATTAGTTCCGCAACATTCAACAAGACTCTGCCTGGTAATTCATCAACGCCACTAGAGTTCTTAGACGATATGGACTTGATGATATCAAGAAGTTGAGTTTCGTCTAAAGGATGAAGAAAAACAGAGCAGGCTCAGTATCATTGATTAGAGAATTTACAGAGTTAATGAAATAATCAATAAAGACTTGAGGAATAACAGGACCACCATGAAGCCGAGTTCCATCATCAGTTTCAAAATAATTCGAAAAACAATTGCTCATATTATTAGATGTTGTATTCTGTTCAATTATACTCCAGGCAACTTTAAATTTGTTATCAGCCACAAGAAATTTGTTACTGAAATACTCTTTTTTACGTCAATTTTTTTACGATTCCTCAAAATAAATTTGTATTGCTCAATAACGATTTCATCACATTGAGTTCTGTTCAGATTGAAAACATCACGAAGAAGTATACTTTCATTGATGATTTCAGGGTTTGCCTTTAGGAAGGTGGGTGTTACTGATTTTTCGTAAAGCAGGCGGAAATGCTTTGTCAAATAGATTGAGGAATAAGAAGTAGAATTTGGAAAATTTTGTGTCAAACTCAATTTTGTTGAGATATACGAAGTCCCAAGATTCACATGAAAGTAAGGTTTTCAAATAATAAATGTTTTGATCATGGAACGCTCGTTTGAGAGTGTAAGCAATAGAGCAGGGTTTAATTGAAGGTTTAATAATTTGGAGTGCATGGTCAGAAAAATCAGGATGAATGACAATAGGGGGAATTTGGCAAGTGGTGGACAAGAAAATATTATCGACTGTTGACATACTGCTTTCCTATATTCTCGTGTAGTCAAAAATACATTGATTTAATCCATATGAAGCGAGAAGATTGCGAAGGTAC